TAAAGCTTAAAATCTCCTTACCTACTGGTGTGTTCATTGTCTCTGGATCTAAAAGAACTAAGAGAACCACTTATCTTACACCTGCTGGTGCTTTGACAGTTGGCAAAACATATATTTTACTAGTTGAACTGAGTGGCGTGTGCATTTACTCTGGTCTGGACTAGGGATTGACTGGAAGTGTGCTGGGTACAAACAAAACTAGAAATTATCCACACTAATTTTCCAACTATCAACTTTAATAAGCACAGAGACAAACAAAGTTATAAAAGTCATAGTCTGGCTTTCAAGTCGTTATCAGAGTCCATCATACCAATTCAACCTCCCCTCCATATATAGAAGTGAATTTGCAACATTGCATACAGTAGTATCTGTAACAACTCTAGAAGCCGCAGAAAAATCTGGGAAGTCCTTCCTAAAGTTATTTATTTCAACGTAGTCTCGGCTTTGAGTCATGAAGCTGCCTCAAAAAGCGTAGCAAATTCAAGAACCTCTTGGCTGGTTTTAGACATATCATTTCCATTTCAGGTTCCAGTGATGAGAAATAAAACAAATCACTTAGTCCACTGAGGAGATAGCCAGGACAAATGAATTCTGTTGATTAAGAATGCTTAATTGTTATTTTCTCTCCTTTTTTTTTTTATGGGCCATGCTACATTGAGAACCACAATAAATGCATCTGTATCCATAACATCTACTATAATGTGTTTTTCAGAAACATTTTGCTCTTAGGAAGCATTTTTTGAGGACAAAAATCAATGGGCAAGGGAACAAGCCATTGGAGCTTTCCCCTTATTACAACTCATTATCCTCCTGAAAAAGAATTTAAAGGAAGAAAGGAAATTAGCCGAGCTGTCTGAGATCAACCATAAGATGCTATTTGGACCAGCCCAAGAGAGAAATCAACTCACTGTTCCTCCTTTCTTATGCTGCCCTCTGACTTCATGGATTGAAATGGTTTCAGAGTAGGATCCCCTGCTGCCTTCAGCAAACCGTTGGGTCCAAACTGAATGAAAAGAATGAAGATTCAAATTATGTTTCCATTAACCCTTGATCAGAGAGAAACAGGAAGGTGTTTTTTTTTAAATGTAACTTGTTTACAGTTTGCACTGAGAAACCTGGTCGTAGAGGTTTAACAGCTTTTCTGGAGAAGAAATGAAATCTCCTTTGAAGACATTGCTTTCTCTTCTTGGCATACTCTGGATGTTATGTGCTACCGTGAAAACAAACAGTGAGTACATGTCACTGTGGTTGCTCAATGTATTTTTTTATTTTTTAATATGAACTGCTTTTACACAAGGTAGAAGGGGCAAAATTGCAATATGTTATTCGTTACAGTGTTTTAGTTTTGTGGATGTTCACTGTGTCTTTGATACTGTGTTTTAAAGGAGAGGATGTGGGTTTGCCAGCACTTCTGAGAATTTTCTTGGAGAGATGCACTCTATCTGCACTGAGTGCCTTCTGGGTAAAAAGAGAGGATGTCACATTATTGTTGTTGCTGGTGTGATTGTTGCTGCTGCTGTTGCTGAACAGTTTGTAAAGTGCCCCCCACCCCCATTCTATACCTCCTCTAGAACCTGAAGCTTTAGAGTCCCAGCTATAGTAGGAGGAAAAAAAGTAAGCAAGTATAGCAACAGTAGTTGTCTCAGAATGGATACATTTAAGAACCTAAATCAGTACATTCTAATCTAGACATTGTAGGAGGACAACCAAGTTAGTCTATGGTAGCCAAAACCCAGGAGGAGCCTGGTGGCACTTTTTTAGACTTAGACATTTTATTAAAAGGCACATGCTTTTGTGATGCTTCTCCCAGTAGAACTGCAGGAGGGGAGCACTGACTCCCATCACTCACTCCCACTCCTGCTCTTTGGCAGACTCAGTCCTTCCACAGTCCAGCCACACTATGCATCTGATGAAGAGTGCTGCAGTTCATGAGCACTTGTGCTTCTTAATTAAATGTGGTAATCAGAAACGGTGCTAACAGACTCCTGATTAAAGAGGGATTTGCACCCTGACAATGGTGGCAATGGCCTGGACAGTCTGGGAGGCCAGGATGGCCACTGGATTGGTGAGTGGGCAGCGGTAGAGCAGCTAAGAGGCCTGAGGAAGTAGCCAGAGAAGCCAATCGACCGGAGGAGGCCGAACGGCCAGAGGAGCAGCTGGGTGGTGCTGGTGACTGGAAGGACCCAGGCAATTGCTGGAACAGCAAATGGGTCCTGACAGAACCATAGAGCGGGAGCTCAAGCGGTGGACCCAGAAGGGACTTGGGTGACGGCGGCGACAGCAGCCCGGGCAATGCCCCAAATTACGAACAGCCTAATCAGTGATCAAGTGGCAGCTGGAATAGTGGGTCGAGGGATTGGAGTCGAGGGGGATTCCATTGACCCCTCCAATTGGCCCAGAGAAGGCAGAGGGGTGTTGGGGTCCCTCCAGAGTATGTGGGTTAGGTCCCCTCCCCCTAGGGTGAGAGACAGGGAGGGGGAGCTGAGGGTGGATGTGTGGAGTGTGTTGTGAGTGTGATAGTGAACTCCCTTCCCCCGAGTGAGAGTTGGGGTGGGAGTACAAATGGAACAGGTGCCCCCAGCCAACTAGTGAGAGAGGTGGGCAAGGGGGTACAGTGGATGAGTAGGGTGATAGTTAGGGTTCCAACGGTGCTGAGAGCAGGAGCTGAAGTGCCATGGAGCCCACCATCACCCTTTAGTTGACAGGGTGTGTCTGATGTTGTTTGGCTGGATGGAGGGACCCCTAACCAGGGAAACTGGAGGGCTGGGATTGGGGGAGAATGGAAGCTCTGGGGAGGTCAGGGCGGGCTACATTATTCAGGTGGTGACAGGGAGAGAGCATTATGACGGGAGTCAGAGGGTGGGCCGCTCTCGGGGAAGACACCCCCGGTGTTCAGTACTGTTGGTGGGTTCTGGCCCTCTCAACTCAGACCCAGGCCCCGGACAGCAGACCTGCGGAGACCCTGGCTTTCGGCTGCTGCTTCTTAATGCCAGGTCAGTTAACAAAGTCCCCCCTTATATGTGAGTTGATCACTGAGGAACGGGCTGACTTAGCGTGTATCACTGAGACCTGCCTGAGCCATGAAGGGGGGGTGCCCCTTTTGGAAATGTGCCCGGCCGGGTTTACAGTTTGACACCAGCCGAGACCCCAGGGTAGAGAGGAGGAGTAGCAGTTGTTATCAGAGAATTTCTGTTGGCCGTCAGGGGCGCTGCTCCACAAGTGGCTGGTTGTGAGACCTTTTCCTGAAGTTGGGTTCGTGAGCACAGTTGGGGTTGTTGTTACTGTACCAGCCTTCCTGCTGCGTAGCAACCTCCCTGCCTTTGCTGCTGGAGGCCATTGCGGGGCTGGCAGTGGAGTTCCCCAGACTGATGGTCTTGGGGGACTTCAATCTGCCGTCCCTGGGGCATGCCTCAGAGGCAGCCCGGGAATTCATGGCTACTATCACCCACGGTTGTTAAGCAAGACATCACATGACCATGACTTGCAGTGATCTCTCCTTCCCCTTTTTAGTAATGTTTTTAATTAAGGTT